CACCTTCGTTTTCGGAGCTTGTACAATGTTCAAGGAATCCCATGCTATCATCCCCAAAATGGCGTTTTGCAGCGATGTCCGACAGTCAGGGTGCAACAACTGCACTAAGTCGTGGCGTTGAAATCCAAGAGAAGATGTTGTGACACGATTCAGAATCGTCATGACGCAACACTAGCGGTGATTCGCGGCGTTGAAGTCCCAGGAATTGTTTGCTGGTGCAGTTCACGATTTTCAAACGATTGCCTTCCATGGGGGCACTTCCACCAGTGAAAATGAATCCTTGTAGGGGCCTGCGAAGAGGGAACTTGGCAGGGCTTCTGGCAACATCGTTAATGAGTCTTGGGCTTGCACTGGTCCTCCCCCTCGTCCTCGTCCACCTCCTCGACCTCCTCCTCCTCCTCCTCCTCCTCCTCCTCCTCCTCCTTCTCCTCCTCCTCCTGCTTCTCGTTATCCCCCTTTCTCTTGCTCCCCGCCGATCGCCCGAAAAAGCGTAGCAACCGACGGCGGCAGTGAGGGCGCTCGGGCTGCAGACAGGAGGCGGGGTTTTGGAAGAAAAATAGAAATAGTCAAACAATTCTCCAAGATGACCAAAAAATCAAGAAAATCGTCCCCAGACTATTTTTTGAATATGTTTGCATATTTCTCCTGTAGGGGGACAGGCCCGGCTCAAGAGTAGGGGTGTGTGGGCCCAGACGTGCGCTGTCCTCCCTGTGCCACTGCACGGCCCCCCCCCCTGGAAGTCCCGACGACTCTTCCTGACGCCCGGCCCTTCGCCCATGAGCCGCTCTCTTCGACGCTCCCGCGGGGGGTGGCTGGCGATAGGCCTCTGATAGTGAGTCCGCACCTTCCTGGGCAGACTGGGGCTACTGGGCCCCTGTCGGCGATCAATGGGCGATTGGGGGCGCCCAGGAAGCCTTCCCCGGAGTTAGGTTTTCGCCTGCAATTTTTCCCAAAATGCTGCTCTCGCTGAGGCGCCGGCCTCATTTTCGGGCCCCGCTCGTTCCGAATCGTGCTCTCGCTGCAGCGCTGGCCTCATTTCCGTGCTTCCGCTCGTTCCGAATCGTGCTCCTGCTGCAGCGCTGGCCTCATTTCCGCGCTACCGCTCGTTTCGACTCGTGTTCCCGCTGCAGCGCTGGCGTCATTTCCCGTGCCATGCCACGGCATGCAATGCGATGCTAGGTTGATACTACGCTTCGCGGTGCTCTTCTACACCATGCCACGCCGTGCTCTACAATGCATCGCGTACCCTTTCGGGATCATCGCCCTGCTTGACATCCGACTGTGCGAGTAGAGAGGGGATCTGCGCCGTGGTGAGGGATGGGAGGGAGAGGTATGATGTCAGATATGACGCGAGCGCACCTAGCTTGCCCCTCCCCCTCCCCCCCTCCCCCCCCCTCCCCCTCCACATTACACGATATAAATACTACTCTCCTCCGATGACGTCCGGAAGATGTTCGTTTTCCCTCCGCGTATTGTTGCTTACACGCAGGAGTTGGGGGAATTGGGTTTTCACTTGGTTCTTCATGTTGAATTGTTGCTCCCGTTGAAGCGCTGGCCTCCTTTTCGGGCTTCCGTTTGTTCCGAATCGTGCTCCCGCTGCAGCAATGGCCTCATGTCCGCGCTTCTGCTCGTTTCAAATCATGCTCCCGCCGAGGAGCTGGCGTCATTATTTCGAGTGCCATACCACGGCGTGCAATGCAATGCTATGTGGTGTTCCGCTGTGCGATGTCATACCTTCAGCTGCAATGCTAGGATATGCAATGCTTGACTACGCAGTGCCAAGCCATACTATGCCATGCTACACTTCGATCTCCATCGCTGTGCTATGCCATTTTCTGTTCTGTGCCGCTGTGCGGTGCCATTATTTGTGTTGCAATGCTTTGTGATGCAATTCTTCACTACGCCACGCCACGCCATGGTATGATACACTACGCTATGCCGTGCTCTCCTACGCTCTGCTATGCCGTGCTCTACGATGCATCGCGTACCCTCTTGGGATCATTGCTTGGCTCGACGTCCGACTGCGAACAGAGAGGAGATCTACGCCATGGTAAGGGATGGGAGGGATAGGTAGGACGTCAGAAATGACGCGAGCGCACCTAGCTTGCCCTCCCCCCTCTCCCCCTCCCCCCTCTTCCCTTCCCCCCCCCCTCCCCCTCCTCCTTCGAGCTTCGAGCTGCGGACCTTTGGCTCCCTAGACGGAGGCAGCCCTCAAACCCCTCCCACCCGAAAGCGGCGGGGGGAGAGACAACACAAGCCAAAAGGCGAATAGAGAGAGAGAGAGAGAAGAAAAGACCGACCGAACGGCGGGCACGACTCCGTCCCAGTAACGAAATGCCCTTAGAACCCAGAAGTGTTCTAAGTAATAACAAAAGCAATGCTCTTAGAACACAGGCCCGATGTGTTAAAACAAAACGGCCTCAGCCAAAAATGTTCTGAGATTAGATCGTGCATACCACGGAATGCGATTACACCACGATGGGCGGGTCTGCAGGCAAGCCAAGACGCTTCGCCACTGCTCGATCCAAGGGTGGAGGGGGAGCGACTGCCTGTGGTGACAGGCGTGCGCGTGCAGAGTGGTCCCGAGCGTGGGCCCCAGCCCCCTCCTCCTCCTCGTCCTCCTCGTCCACCTCCACCTCCTCCTCCTCCTCCTCCTCTTCCTTTTCCTCCGCCTCCTCCTGCTCATCCTCCTCGTACTCCTCCTCCTCCTCCTCCTCGTCCACCTCGTCCTCCTCCTTCTCCTCCTCCTCCTCCTCCTCCTCCTCCTCCTCATCACCATTACCATCACCATCACCATCACCATCATGATCAGCATCCCCCTCCTCCTGGTCCTCCTGGTCCTCCTTGTCCTCCTCCTCCTTCTCCTCCTCCTCCTGGTCCTCCTCCTACCCCTCCTCCTCCTGTCCGGGGGGGAGGGGGAGGGAGGAGCAGGCGTCCTCAGCAAGCGCGCTGGCAGCAGCAGGGCCCTCGACAGGGACAGCCTGCAGCGGCCACAGGGCGCACGACCACCACAGCTCAGCGACCAAGGAGTGCTCTTGCTGGGGCGCCAATGGGGCCTCCTCCTCCCCCCTCCCCCCCCCCTCGCGACGCGGCAGCAGGGAAGCCGCCGCGGAGCGGCGCCTGAAAAACCCAGACCCCCCGCATCGCGATGCCCCTCGCCACGCGGAGCCCACGATGGGGCCTGTGATGGGCTCACCACCCGCATCGCGATGCGGCCTGTGATGGGCTTGCTTTCCACCACCACCACCATGAGTTGGAGGGAGAGGGGGCTTTCCTCCTCCTCAACCTCCTCCTCCTCCTCTTTGGCCTCCTCCTCCTCCTCCTCCTCCTCCTCCTCCTCCACCTCCTTCCCCCCTCCAACTTATGGTGGTGGTGGTATAGAAAGCCCATCAGCCTGGACAGATTCCCCGGGACGCGCTCTTCATCCCGAGCTGTTCGAAGTGACGGCCCAGGGGGCGGCGGCCCAGGGGCCCGACGAGGGCCCAGGAGGCCAGAGACCGGCAAGGGCCTCCCGTGGTGTGCTGTCACGGCGCCTCCCGCGATCATGGCCGTGCCACCTGGAGCGCTCGCCGCGTCCGCGGCAGAGCCTGTGCTTCACGGCGCGGGGAGGTGGGGGGCGCGAGGGCCCCTGAGGCTCCGGCAAGCACGCCCTGCACCGCCTCCTGGTACTCGGGGATGATGAAGTTGTCCACCAGCGGGGTGCCCGTGGTCTCGGCTTTGGTGTAGCCGGACACCGTGGCGGCCTGGAGGTCTCCTTCCTCGCCCTCGTGCTGTCCGGCCCATCCTCCTGCCTGATGCTGCCCCTCAGTCAGCATCGCTAGACCGATCCCTATCCCCAAAGGCGTGGCCTTGACCCACCTGGCCGACTTACCCACCTAGGTATATGCATTTTCCTTCGGGTCCCGCAAGGCCGATCCCCACCTACGTGGGGGCGTGGGCTGGTGAGGCTGAGGTACCATGGTCCAGTGGCGATGTGGATAGGACAGACGATGCTGACTCATCCGGGAGTCCCTTTCGAGACCTCCGAGGGTCCTCCCTCCTCCCCTGCCCTCTCCTCCCCCTCCCCCAACCGTTCCCCGAACAAGAGGAGCAACCCGCAGTGCCCCCCTGAGCGGGTGAATGGCTGGGGGCGACCATTGGCTCAGGCTCTCGGCACGAAGCTGCACCCTGCCAGCACATCTTTCCAACAACCGCACCTTAACGAGCCGCGGAAGCTCGTGCACCCCGCAAAAAGGCCAGGCACGGCCCCCTCGAGATACTCCTCCTCCTCCTCCTCCTCCTCCTCCTCCTCCTCCTCCTCCTCCTCCTCCTCCTCCTCCTCCTCCTCCTCCTCCTCCTCCTCTTCCTCTTCCTCTTCCTCTTCCTCTTCCTCCTCCTCCACCTCCTCCTCGTCCTCCTCCTCATCCTCCTCCTCCTCCTCCTCCTCCTCCCAGGCCAACACCGGCCGTGGACCAATGGCGCCAGGTCAGGTCTCCGCAGAAGTGCTCCGCGGTCAGCTCGTGGACGCTGGCACCCCGGGGCCCTCTGAGGACCGCCCTCGAGGCGCGAGTCGGGCCACTCCGAGGCCGCGTGAGGCACTGCTGGAGCAAGGTGGAGGCGAAACGCTGGGGAAGCAGAACGCTGGGGAAGCAGAAACGCTGGGGAAGCACGCACGGCATTCGACGGTGCTTGAGGCCTGCGTCTTCTTTTAGAGGTTTAGAGGCCTCCTTAGGGCACCTCTGGAGGGGCCTCGTGCGCCTCTGTAGGCGTCCTTTTGGGGGGCTCTCGGCTGCGGGCGCTGATCATCTGAGGCCCGCCCGGGGCCGAGTCGATCTGGGGATTCCCGGAACGCCTGGATCGGCGGAGCGCCCAGGCATCGCCCTTCCGTGGCGGGGCCGAGCAAACTGTGCCAGAGCGCCTTCCACAATAGACCCATTCGGGAGACCCCAGGACGTCCATGGGCTTTTGGTGTGGGAACGTCGCGCTCGCCATGGCAAAACCAGCGAAGCCCAAGAAACCCAAGGGCACCCTGGAGGCAAGCAGGGTGCTGTTTCTTAGCATGGGCCTCCCCTGTACGCCAGAGCGTGTCCTCGCGCCTGCTGGCCCTGGCGATCTCGCGTAGATCAAACTGGGATCCAACTCCGCCTCGATCCGCCTCGAACGTACCAGTGAGCAGCGCCAGGGCCCGCTGCCACAGCGCGGCCGTCTCGCACGCGCTGATCCAAGCGTTGCAGGCTACTAGTGCCTGGATCCGTGGGGCACATTCGCAGGCGATGCGGCAGCTGAGCCTTGCAGATCGATGGGGGGCCTCTTGGGCCGTGCTGCGGCCCTCTTGGGGGCCTCTTGAACTATCGGGTGCCATCTTCGAGGCCACTGGGGCCGCCTTGGGCCGTCGGACGCACAAGAAGGCGAGAAAACCGAACTTCTTCAAACGCGTAAAGGGTATATATGGATGAAGATGTAAAAATGAATGTGCACACAGCTGATTTTGACTTGAAGCAATATTGGGCCGGTTTGGCCAGATTGGGCCGTGTGTGAGGCGTCTTGGGCGAAAATGGAAGTCTCTGGGATACTCTGGGACAGTTCCGGATGCCGTCTCGGAGGCCGTCTGCACGAGCAATGTTGGGCTTTGACGGTTGTCGCCTCTCCGAGGTCATCTGCGGATCATCTGAGGGCCTCGCGAAGGCATAGCGAGACAATCGTGGAACCACCTGGACATCTTGGGGGCCTCCTTGGGGTGTCGCGAGATCACCCGGGTCCCTCGTGCGGGGTACGTCGGCTGTCTTGGAAGCGCCGTGCGCCCTGGCCTCCTCATCCCTCCTCCTCCTCCTCCTCCTCTTCCTCCTGCTCCTCCTCCTCCTCCTCCTCTTCCTCCTCCTCCTCCTCCTCCTCCTCCTCCGCCTCCTGCACCTCCTCGTCGTCCTCCTCCTCCAGCGTCCAGGGGGGCCCTGGAGCTCGCGCGCCACGCTCATGCCCGACACAAGCTTCGCCCAGACCCGCAACTGAAGGTCGCACTGGCCACCGACGTCGCGTCTCACATCTCGCTGAGCCGCTGCCGACGTTGAGCTCCAACTGCACGCCACCATCTCGCCGAGCAGCGGCAGGGTCCGCTTTCGCTGCTCGCCTACCGCTCGTGCTGATCCAGGCGCTGTAGACGACGAAGACGGACCCATGCAATGGCATCCAACATGACTTCCTGTGGGACGGGCTGCCGCTGTCACAATTAAAACAAATGTCCGTAGACGTAATCACATTCGTTGCCCGGCAGGGTCCCGGACGCGCAGTGCTTCTCAAGATATTCGAAACCGCGCAACACCGAGTTGAAGATAGCCTGGAAATCCTGCCGAGTTGCGAGATGACCTCTCATACGCAGCGATGCTCAAGTCGTAACTGTCTTCGTCCGGCTCCATGTTGCTCTGCCGCATCTCATTGAGCAGCGACACAGCCTGCCGCCACTGGCCGCATCTACCACACGCGCAGATCCCAGCGTTGTAGCTGATGGCATTCGGCTGCAACCCAGACTCACGCATCTCGCTGAGCAGAGACATGGCCCACTGCCATTGCTCGCCCTTCTCGCACGCGCTGATCACAGCGCTGCAGATGACTACGGCGTTCACGAAACCTGTTCAAACTGGGATGTGATGTGATGGCGGAAGCAATGCCGACAGTTGCTCGTGATGACGCCCGACGCGAGGCCCGAGCAGCGAGAGGGGAGAAGCGAGCAGGAAGCGAGCAGGCAGGAGGGAGCGAGGCGGAGCAAGGAGGAGCGAGTGCTGGGGGAGGGAGGAGGGAGCCATCGCAGGGCTCCCTGGGACATTCTTGAGGCCCTGGCTGGGCCGCGTGAGCTGCAGGAGGAAGACGCGAACATGGAGGAGGAAAAAGCTTACAGCCAGGAGGGAGGAGCGAGGGGCCAGGAGGGAGGAGCGAGCAGCGAGGAGTGCATGGAGCGAGGAGAGCGGGGCGCGAGGAGTGCGGAGGCGCATGCCAAGGGTGAGGACTGCTTGCCTGCCTGTCTGTCTGCTCCCCTGCAGCCCTGCTCGCATGGCTGCCAGCCCGTGCTCCTCCACTCGTCTCCGCGTGCACCCGTGGCGCTTCCGCGACCACGCTGCCGCCCCGACCGCGGCGCAGTGGTTCCCACCGCCGCTGCCCCAGACGTGAGGGCCAGCATGGTGGCCTGAAAACCTTTGGCTGGCTCGCCTGCTTTCTCCGCTGCTTGCTCCACTGTCTGCCCGTCCGCTCGCTGGTGCGTCCTGCCGTGTGCTGATGCGTGGTGATCCTTGCCAGGCGTTCTGTAACTGTTCATGTGCTGCTCTTGCTCGCCGCTATGGGCTAGTGCTGGTCGAAGCGTGCCGCTGCTTGATGTGGCCTGGCGCTGCTGCTGCTGCTGCTGCTGCTGCTGCTGCCGCTGCTGCTGGGTGATGCTGCGTGGCTGCTACTGTGCTGATTGCTGCCGCCGTTGCGGTTCGTGAGAGGATCGACGAGCGAGGAGCGAGGAGTCGGGATCGACGAGGGCGGAAGAGAAACGATGCGCGAGAAGCAGGGAGATAGACGGGAGGAGCGACGACTGAGGAGAGAACGGCGAGGAGGGGGTTTCCAGGATTTCCGCCTTCAAGTAGTGAAATCAAAACATAAAAACCCCACACTGCCAGGGCATATGCAGTGTGTTGGGAGCGACCTAGTGCACCTCGGCCGCTCCAAGCCTCAAACGGCCTAGGAGGGGAGGGGACGACTCAGAGGTGCACGTGCACGTCCAACGCCTCCAGGACAGCCCCATGTGAGGAGCAGGGGGGGCCAGGAGCGAGGAGCGAGGAGCAGTGAGAGGAGGAGCGAGGAGCACGGCGCGAGAAACGAGGCACGGAGGGAAGGCCCGAGAAGCGACCGCCGCGCGCATCTCCCGGCGTCTCTGGCGCTTGCCTGGCGGCACACCTGGTCTACTCGTTACGTCCCCTCGAAGGGTCGGGCCTCCTTTGGGGCCTCCTTGCTGGAGCTTCTGGGGCCCCCTCGGGGTGGGTGGGCGTGGGCGCTCGAGAGGATCCTTGAGGCCGTCCCGGCACGGTCCTGGGCCTTTCTGGGGCCGCCTTGTCGGGGCTCCTGGGGCCCCCTCGGGGCGGGTTGGGCGCTCGAGAGGATCCTTGAGGCCGTCTCGGCACGGTCCTGGGCTTTTCTGGGGCCTCCTCGTTGGGGCGTCTGGGGCTCCCTCGGGGCGGGTTGGGCGCTCGAGAGGATCCAGGCCGCCTCGGAACGGCCCTGGGCCTTTTCTGGGGCCTCCTCGTTGGGGCTTCAGGGGCCCCCTCGGGCTGAGCCCATCTTCGGCCTCCATGGGGGGCTCTTGCGGGCCTCTCGGGGTCCCTCCTGGCTCCCTGGCGTCCGGGCCTCGCCGCGAGCTTCCTGGGCGCCAGGTGGAGGTGCCTCGGCCCTTGGACGGGGCGCAGTGGACGGCAGAAGTGGAGAGCAGCGAGAGGGCACGAGGGCGACGCTGCCTCGAGGTCGCCTCGGCACCGTCTCGGAGTGCCCCTGGGCCTAAGGGGGGGGCCCAGAGCCACAGGCGGCCTCCGCGAACACTCCGAGCGCCTGCCGTGGAGGAGCAAGATGCTGCCTCTGAGCATGAGCTCCCGGAGGCCCACGCGCGCTTCTCTTGGATCCGCGCTGGGCCCCTTCCTCCCTGGCGGGGCCGCGCTCGAGGCGCCGCCAGGTGGGCCCAGCGCCAACGGAAGAGATCCGCGCGGAGCTCCGATAAATCCCATGTACAATCGAGGCGTTGACCCAAGGAACCCTAAATAAGGAACGAGGCCCCTTCTTCCCAGAAGCTCAGCCCCGATTTCCTGTGGAAAACCTCGGGGAAACCCGAGGCAAACTTTGAAACAACCAAGGAACACCGAGCCCCTCCCCAACGAAAAGGGTTCCTTCTTCAAGACCCCTACTGCATGCAGCTGTTGTTCAAAACCAGGCTATGGGAGAACGCACCCGGGGCGCTCAGGAGCCGCCCGGGCCCTTCAGCACTGCCCGAGGAGGCGCCCGGAACGTTTGCCAGGCCGCGGGCGGCCCGGGGGGCAGAAAGGGGTCCATCGGGACATTTCCCCTTCTCGCAGGCGCAGCCTCCCGGACTGTAGGAGAGGGATGACGTCGGGCTTCACCTTCGAAGCCGACATCTCGCGGAGCAGCGCCAGGGCAGATTTCCACTGCCCGCCCTTCTCGCACGCGCTGGCCCCGGCGCTGTAGATGACAAGTGTGTACACACTGGTGATTTACGCCAGCAGGTGAGCAAGTGCTGATGCGGATCCGTGCTGCTGCTGATTGTCGCTGCTGGTGCTTGCGGGTTATGCTGGCTACTGCTTCCTGGTGTTTTTTTTTTTTATATGATGGTTGCTGCTGCTGGCTCTGCTGCTGGCTCTGCTGCTGCTGGCTCTGCTGCTGCTGGCTCTGCTGCTGCTGGCTCTGCTGCTTGCTTGCTGCGCTCGCTGGCTGGTCCGTGATTGATGTTCCCTTGGAGACCTCTCTGGCCTGCGCTGCTTGTTGGTGCGTGCCTCTCCTGGCTGCCGCTGCCGGCTCAGCAGCGTGCTTGTCTGCTTGCTGCGATCGCTGGCTCGTCCCCTCTTACGTGCCCTCTTGCCGACACCCTGACGACGTCGCGGGGCGTGCGTGTGCTCGCTTGTGGCCCTCGTTCGAGGCGCCTCGAGGGCAAGATTCGGGTCCCCGGGCTCTGGGGGAAGCCAGCGGGGCTCTTATGAGCCTCTCGGGCCCTCGGGGACGCCTCTGAGGCACTTCTTCGCGCCGGCTGAAGCCGAGAAGTGAGAAGTGCAACACAAACCACGACACCCTGATAATGATTATCTCCAAGGCCCAGCCAAGAGCACCTCGCGGGCCTTGCGAAAAGTTATTTTGCGAATGGACACAGTGTCGCAATCCTGCGCCGTCCTGCATCTCACATCTCACTGAGCAGCGCCAAAGCCTGTTTCCACTGCCCGCCCTTCTCGCACGCGCTGGTCCCGTCGCTGTATATGACATGTGTGCGAACATGGGTGGGATCCACGAGCCACTGCTGATGAGGATTCATACTGTTGGGTGCTGCTGCTGAGGCTTGCAGCTTCTGCTTGTTGTTGCTCGCTGATGTTGTATGTTATCTGGTGCTGCTAGCGTTGCTGCCGCTGCTGCTGCCGCTGCTGCTGCTGCTGCTGCTACTGCTGCTGCTGCTGCTGCTGCTGCTGCTTTTGGTTATGCTGCTTGCTTGCAGCGTCCGCTGGCTGGTCCACTTGTGATGCCATATTGGAGGACCCTTGGGGCTGCACTGGGGCGCTCCTGGGCCCGCTGCCGCTGCTGCTGCCTGGTGGGTGCGCGCGTCCAGTCGAGAACTCGCGGCTCCCCTGGGAGGCCGCCAGCTGCGCCAGTGCCGCCACGCTCCTGGGCCCCCAGGAGGCCCAGCGGCGCAGAGGGGGGCACTTTTTTGATTCGCGGGTCGAGAGCGCACCTCTCCCGGTCGAAGCCTAAGCGGGCCGCGCGAAGCTTGAATCAGGCAGAGAAGAGGAGGGAGGACGCGGCGGAGCCACAGAGCGAGGCCGAGAGGAGGCACAGCAGGCGCAGGGGGACACGCACATCCAGTCGAGAACTGGATCCCCGGACAGGGCCCCCAACGCCGCCAAGGAAGCCCCCCGCCCCGTGGGCCCCCGCGAGGGCCCCGCGGGGCAGGGGGGGGGGGGGCGCGCAGACCCCGACGAGGCCCCGCGGCTCCCTGGACACGCGGTGTTTCGTCCGCGGCGGGGCGGCGAACTCCGCTCCAGCGAGGAGCTAGATAAGGGGCACGAGATAGCGAACTGGCCGGCGAGCAAAGAGGGGGGGGGGGGGACGGCCGAGAGGAAGAGGGGAGGCTCAGACGCCGAAGCGTTCGGGGATGAGCAGCCGCGGCTCCCTGGAGCACTGCCCGCTGCGCAGCAGTCGCCGCCTCGCTCGCGGGCCCCCGGGAGGCCCAGCGGAGCGGGGGGGGGGGTCTCTCCTGGCTGCCGCCCTGTGGCTCGGCCGCTCGCTCCTGGCCCTCCTCTCATGCGCCTCGGGGGCCACATCTGGGTCTCCGTCCGGGCCCCTCTAGGATCCTCGGTGGGTCGACCGGGAGGCTTTCGGGCCATGGGGCGCTAGGACAGAGGTAAAACCATCCGCCCCCCACAATCATGAACCATGCCGATGCGCGGAGTCGCTCAGCAAACGCGCGCCCAAAGAAGGAATCGAACAGGGCAGGGCTCTTTAGCAAACGCCCAGGGCCGTGCAGTAAACGCCAACTGTCTGGTCCGGGTGGTGATCTCTCCCTTGATAGAAGCGGCGATCACCTGCGACGAGCCAGCCCCGGGGCCCCGCGAAGGGCCCCTGAGAGGCCCTGCGAACACCAATATCACGAAGAGCCGCCTTGCAACTTGCAGACTCTTCGGGCCACCTCGTCGCGACCTCGCGCCGTCTCAGGGACGCCCTGGGCCGTCTAGAGCGCCACCAGGAGGCTCTATTCGGCCCAGCCTGGATCCCTGCAGGGCCGCACCAGGCGGTCGTGGGCCGACCAGCGGCCCTGGGCCTCTTTAGAGCCACCTGAAGCTGTCACATCGCCGGCGTCCTTTGGCGCGCTGATCATCGTCTTGCAGGGTAGACAACGTCAGGCTCCAGCCTCGCCTCCCGCATCGCGCCGAGCAGCGCCAGTGCCCACAGCCACTGCCCGCCCTTCTCGCACGCGCTGATCCCAGCGCTGTAGCTGACTGGGGCTGACCCGTGGCCTACCGGCGACGAAATCTGTCCGAGATTGCACGTGGGACCAGGGCAGAGATGTTGTCGAAAGATGTTCGTGACGACGTTTGGCCCGGACTTCACCTCTGCTGCTGCTGCCTGCAGCTGCAAGGTGCTGCTGCCTATGGCATGTTGCTGCTTCTGCGAATTTTGTCAGTCTGCTGCCGCTGGTTGCTGCAGACTGCTGTTGTTCGCCGTTGCTACTGGAGGCTGCAGGAGTGCTGTTTCTTGGTACCCTTGCAAGCTGACACAATCCAGAGCTCGTGAGTGGACAGAGGACTGAGGAGCGAGGAGTCAGGGTCGAGAGCGGGGAGGAAGCCAGGAGCGATCAGCGAGGAGATAGGAGCAAGGAGCGAGAGGGAAAGCAACGGTCGAAAAGAAAAGAGGAAAAGAGAGAGAGAGAGATGCAAGGAGGGACGAGGGATGGCCGAAGGAGGGAGGAGGCGGACGCCAGTAGTCAAGAGGGATAATGAAGGGGCCAGGAGAGGGGTGGGAGGAGCGAGGAGGAGAAAGAAGAGAGGAGCCAGGAGCGAGAAGAGAGAGACGAGGAGCGACGAGAGAGCGACGAGGAGCGAGGAGCGTGGATCATGGCAGGGGAAGGGGGAGGCATGAGACGAGGCTGGAGCACGACTGTCTCAACGGCCTCGGCGCGCGTGTGGCCGAATATATCTGGCTTCCTCTGGAGCCGCCGCCGGGGGCTCTCTCTCTCTCTCTCTCTCTCTTCGGGCGCGGCCGCGGGCGCGCGGCCGCGCGGTGACCCGACGCGCGTCGCGCAGCGGTTGGTGAGTGAGTGAGTGAGTGAGTGAGTGAGTGAGTGAGTGAGTGAGTGAGTGAGTGAGTGAGGGAGGAGGAGGAGGAGGAGGACGGGTCGCCTAAGCCCTGCGGATAAACCCTCCACATCTGAGGGGCTCGGCTTTTGGGCGACACAGCACAGCACGGAACAAACAAGCAAGCACTTAAAACAACAGGCTCGCTCGCGATACAGTCTCTGGTAGACAGTCTGTCGCCCCCTCGCTCGCGTCGGAGCGGCTGGGACCTTTGGCCGCATCTGGTCCTCATGGGCAGCTTGGCCGCCATGGGGAAGACTCGCCCAGAGGTCCGATGCCGTGATCTTTGTCGATGCGACCCCCCCCCGAAGCCACGAGCCCTTCCCCAGGGCTGGCTCGATGCTACGACAACGTCGTGCCCTGAGTGACCACCACACTGCGATGGTCTTGCCAATGGACACCACCATGGGTGGGCTCGTCGGCCACCCCGTGCGACGCGGACCAGGCCCAGCTTCCCATTCCGGGGGTCGCTGTTCGGCGGCCCCCCGGGGCCCGGCGAGGAGAGCCGCAGGCTGAACAAGCGACGGACACTGGTGGCTCCGGCTGTCCCCGAATGCGCTGGAGATCTGGACGTCGCGCCCGTGGAACGGCAGGGGATTGAGCAGGGACCGACCGACCCGGCATTCCTATAGTCCTACCACGAAATGTTTTTAGAACCCAAAAATGCTCTAATAACCAAATCAATGCTCTTAGAACATAAACCCGATGTGTTAACACAAGACAATCTCCACCAGAAATGTCCTAAGAACCTCTCGTGGAAGCCACAAAAGGTTCTCAGAGCATTGCTTGGTCGGGCTCTAGCCGAGCCGGGACGCTTCGCCACTGCTTGGGGGGGAGGCCTGGGTCACTCGCACGCCCACGCGGCGCGCTTCCCGGCGACCCGCTCGGGGCAGGGCAGGCGCCCCTCCCGCGCTTCCACTCCGGGCCGCCGCCGGGCGCGGGAGGCCGGAGGGTAGCGGTGGCGTTGGGCTCCAGCTTCGCCTCCCGCATCTCAAGCAGCAGCGCCAGGGCCCGCTGCCACTGCTGGCCCTTCTCGCAGGCGCTGATCCCGGCGCTGTAGCCGATCACGTCGTCGTTCCACGTCGCCTCCCGCATCTCGCTGAGCAGCGACAGAGCATGCTGCCACTGCTCGCCCTTCTCGCACGCGCTGATGCAAGCGCTGTAGCTGACCAGGGCTGACCCGTGGACTTCGTCCATGAAAGCCAGCGTGCTCGGCGCGCGCGTATTGCTTATTGCTTCTGCTGTTCGTGTGGTGCTGCTTCCTGCTTCCTTCTGCTGTTTAGTTGCTGCGGCTCGCTTGCGTGCCTGCTTTCTGCTGTGTGCCTGCTGCCTGCTTGCTGCTCAGTGTTATGTCTGCTGCTCGCTGCTGCTAGGTAGTGCATGCGGCTGCTGATTGTTGCTGTGGCATGCCGGCTCAGCCTTCTGCTTCTGCTGCGTGCTGATCGTGCATGCTGCTGCTAGCTGCCTGCGGTTTGGTGTTGCTGCTTGATATCCCTTGTGCTGGATGTTGCATGTTGTCTGCTGTTGTCTGCTGCGCGCTGCTGGTCGGTGCTTGTGATGTGAGCGTGTGATGCTGCAGGCTGCTGCTACTGACCGTCGCTGCTGCTCACTGCTGCTCACTGCTGCAGGCTGCTGCTGCTGCTGCTGCTGCTGCTGCTGCTGCTGCTGCTGCTGCTGCTGCTGCTTGCTGGTGCTGCTTGTGGATGCCTGCTGCTGCTTGCTGCTGCTGCCGCGCCTATTTTTGATTTCTGCCGTTGGCTGTGCTGCTCTGCTCCCGCTCATGGCTCATCGGGCGTACTCTTAGGTCGGGCCTGTCCCCCTGCGTGCGGATCTTGGACGAACAGTCAAGAAGCTTCAACTAAAGAAAACCAGAGAGTCAAAAAATGGGGAACAGTCGTCCCCAGACTATTTTTTGACTATCTTTGACTACTCCTCCTGTAGAGGGACACGCCCGACTTGCAAGTACTCTGGAGCCGCCCTGGGCGCCATCTTCGGAGCTCTCCAGGGGGCCTCTTCTCGGGGGCGGCCAAGAGGGGGGCGTCCAAGAGGGGGGGGTGCAAATCATGGCCGGCGGCATGTGCGCGGCCCAGCGGGGGGGTCAGGGACGTAATGAAACAAGAAGAGGCGCCAGGAAATCTGGGGAAATATCATGGCCCCCGCCATGATATCCACCTGTGAGTCCAGGAGCTGTCCTCGCCGTGCTCGGCCGCACTCGAAACCTCATGGGGAACACCCCCATGCGTCTTCGAGACGTGCTGGGCCACCCTGAGGGCCGCACGGGAGACTGTCGGAGCAAGGTGAAGTGAGGGTGGGGGCGAAACCGGGGGGAAGCTGGAAGCATGGAAAAACCACAAGCCTTTTGAAGATGCTTGAGGCCTGCAGCCGCTCTTGAAGCCTCTTCGGGCTCGTCTAGAATACAGGCCTCCAAGATGGGGTCCGAGCAGTCGGGGTCGGAGGAATGCACCGCATCGCCGATGCATCGTCGACGTCGGCGGGGCTCCACATGCAGCCGCGTCGCCGATGCCTCGGCGACTGGGCGGGATCCTCCGACACCATTTTCTACCCCGACCCCATCTAGGAGGCCTGGACAAAGGTCGGGCCTGTCCCCCTGCATGCGGATTCTGGAGGAACAGTAAACACACTCACAACATATGCAGAAATTGTTAAGAATAGTCAAACAAATCGTCCCCCGACGATTTTGCTATTTTTTGCACACTCCTCCTGTAGAGGGACCCGCCCGACCTAAAGCTGGCTGCCGAGGTGCGGCTGATGGGCATGTCCGCGTCGGCCCTCGCGCGCGCATGTCCGCGCCGCGCGTCAAGAGCAAGGGGCGGCGGGCTCGCGTGCGCGCGCCCTCCCTCCCTCCTGGCCTGCGTGCGCGCGGCATGCTGCAAGCGACGCCGAAGAAATGCACACAGTACAATTACGGACACACACCCGTCCCGCTCTCCGGCCATCAGGTCTGACGGCTGGAGCTCTGCTTCTTGGGCCCGCACTTCCCTCCCCCGCCTGCCCTCCCTCCCGCCCTCCCGCCCTCCCGCCTGCCCTCCCTCCCTCCCTCCCTCCCGCCCTCCCTCCCTCGCCCCTCCCTGCCTATGCAGGCAGGCCTCGACGGGCCCCCACCCGCCCAGGCAGCAGCAGCCGCCGCGTGCGCCCCCCGGCGTGTCCGCAGAGAGGGCCGAGCCGAGAAGCCGCGGGGGGTCGACGGCGCGGCCTGGACAGAGCCGCCCCCCACCGGCGGGAGCGAGCACGATGCACTCCAGACTTCTGTTGCTCCCATCGTGCTCAAGGACCACATCCCAGAAATGACTTCGAGCACCCGGAAAAGAGTCGAAAGAGTGTCGACAGAGCGTCGGAGCAGTGTCGAAAGGGTGTCTCCCCGGGCCCGGCACGCGGAAACCCTGGACTTGTTGGGTACTTTTCTGGCGCTCGAAACTCTTTCTGGTGATCAAGGCCGAGGTAGGTTGGAACATCATGACTCCAGATTTCCACGAAGACATTGTCTAGCAAGGCAAATTCAGACTCAGCTCTGCTGAATTTCCTACCCTCTTGCGAGAGCCAGCTCTGGAAGCGAATTCTCTTTGCGCAGCCTCAGGTGGAAGATCTGGGAAAGATCTGGGGGTAGAGATGAATTTTCTCAACGCAGCGTCTGGAAGAAGATCCGACGGACAATCTGGAGAAAGATCTGGAGGAAGGTCCATTGCGAGATCTGGAGGATGATCTGGAAGAAGACCCGGAGGAAGATCTGGGGGAAGATCTGGGGCAGATCCATCGGCTGCCCGAGTCCCCGAGCTGAGGGCGTGCTGGCGGCCCCAGGATGGTCCAAATTCGGCCCCACGACGGCCCGAAATGGACTCAGGATTGCCCGAGGATGGCCTAGGATGGCCCCGAGAACGCCCAAGCTTGCCTCTGGACTGCTCCAGGGGCTCCCAATGCGTCACACAAGGGCTCCAAGAGGCCCTGCAGGAGAGCATCGGTCCGCAAAGCCCACTAATCGTCTTTCAGTGCTTGAAGGGTTGTGGCATTATCGCCTTCTCGGGCTTCGAACACCCTAAGACGGCCCACGATGCCTTCGAGAAAACCGAAGAGAGCTCGAATATCGCCCCAGAGACCCTGAAATCGGCCCCGACGTTGCCCTCAGATCGCGACCGAGGGGCCAGGAGCGCCTGGGACAGCCTAAAATCGGCCCAAGCCACCACGAACCCCCCAAGACCGAAAGAAGATCTGGGGGAAGAACTGGGCGAAGATCTGGTGCAAGATCCGTGGGGGAACGGAAGAGATCTGGAGGCAGACCTGGGGCAAGACCAGGGGGAAGATCTGAGTGGGGGTCCGGAGGAACCTGTGGGGGAAATTATGGGGGAAGATCCGGGGGAAAGATCTGGAGGAAGATCTGGAGGAAGATCTGGGGAAGATCTGGAAGTTGATCTGGAGGAATACCTGGGGGGATCTGGAGGAAGATCTGGGGGAAGAGATGGGGTAAGATGTGCGAGAAGATCAGAGGGAAGACCTGGGGGAAGATCAGGGGGAAAGTACGGGAGAAGATCTGGATTGAAGATCTGGCAGACGATATGAGGGACGCTCTGGAGAAATGTCTGGGGGAAGATCTGGAGCAAGATCTGGGGTGAAATCTAGAGGAAGATTTGGGAGGAGACCTGGAAGAAGATCGGAAAAGGGGGGAGGGAAATCTGCAGGAAACTTTGGGAGAAGATCTGAAAGAACATCTGGAGGACGATATGGAGGAAGATCTGGGGTGAAATCTGGGGGAAGAATATCTGGAGGAAGATCTGGAGGGGAGAGTATGATGGAATATTTGGGAGAAGATCTGACAGAACACCTGGGGGGAAATCTGGGAAAAGATCCAAGAGGGGGGGATCGGGGGAATAATCTGGAAGAAGATCCGAGGGAAGATCTCGAGGAAGGTCTGGGGGGAACATCTGGGGAAAGATCCGGGAGAAGATCTGGAGGGAGGTACGAAGGAAGATCTGGGGGGAAGATCTGGGGTGAAATCTGGGGGAAGATCTGGGGAAGACCTGGGGGGAGATCTGGGGGTAGATCCGGGGTAACATGGAAGGAAAGGTCTGGGGAAGATTTGGGGCGAGATCCGAGAGGGGTCTGGGGAAACATCTGAAGAGAAGATCTGGGGGAAGATCTGGAGGAAGACCTGGGGGAGATCGTACGACACATCTGAATGGGGGGGGTCTGTGGAGGACGACCTGAGAAATTACAGGGAGAGACTGTGGGGAAAACCTGACGCAACTCTAAAAGTAAGTTTTTGAGTAGATCCCGCGCGATGAGCTCACGACATGAACCAAGCCAACGGTTTTAAAGATTGGCGACTGGGTCCTCGAAGAAGATGCTGGGCATGCCGACCTAGTTGTTTTGGACCCTGGGGTGGAGATCCAGGGGATATCCAGCGGAACAACACACCGACTAAGTCAAATGCGAGACGAAACTGGAGGAGGGAGCATGCCGGCAAGCGTGAACTGGAAGATCTGGGACGAGACCTGAGCGAACGAACGCTGAAAACTTACTAGATTTGACGGCGAAAACGAACGACGCGTGTCGCGCGTAGTGCGACGAAGTTGCGGGAACAAGACGGGTGCCCAAACAGAACATAGGCACCTCGCTCGCGCGCGGAACCAAAAACGCAAAACAAACGTGCGACGCATGCCCGCGCCAGAACGACACTCCCAACAAAACAGAAGCCGAATTTACAAAACTGACGGGCACGCGACGGGCGTTTGAACTACGGGCGCAAAGTGTTCCCGAACGCGTTTAGAACGAAACAACAGAATAAAACATCAGAACAAAAACGACTAACGACTAAACACTGTTCAACTGCAGCCCTGAGGTACCGAGTGCCCCGGGTAAAACATGTCCCACCCTTAACCCCCTCTACGTGCATCCCGGTTCCAAACGATCTAATTGTGGAGAGGGGCGCGGGGGCCGAACTTGAGAATCCACGGGGGAAGCTGCGAACCGAAGTTGCCATCATCTCATGCTGACTGGCAGCCGCATCAAACACGCCGAGCGTGGCCACGGTGGCCTCGCCACGTCCGCTTCCGCCAGTCACGAGCGTCCGGGGGGCGAGGGCCGCCAAACGCGCCCGTGAGCAGCCACACGATGTGCGCCCGAGGCAACGGGTGGATCGACAAGCTCAGGGAGGCCAGCGACAACGACTTGGCCAAGGCCAAGGCCAAGGGCCACGAGCAAGGCCAAAAGCCCTGCAAGGACCCCACGGCGGTCGAGCCGAAACACGCAACCGTCGAGAAGGCCAGCGCAACCGCTCAAGCGTGCACCAGGTGCCTCCTGTGCAGGGGCGGCTCCGAAAGTGCCGAGCCTGCACGGGCGAGTGGTTTGAAGGCCGTGCGCAAGAGAGGCTTCTTGGCCAGAACGGTCAAGGACCTCTTTCGCGCAGGCAAGTTGTAGCCACGAGCCTCGAGATCTCCCGAGTAAGTCTTGTGCCAAGGTCTACAAGTTCAGTCTACAAGAGCGCCCAGGATTACCATCGTCATCATCATCATCATCCTCATCATCATCATCATCATCAGCATCATCGTCATCATCATCATCATCATCATCATCATCATCCTCATCATCATCATCATCACCATCACCATCATCATCATCATCATCATCATCATCATCATCATCAGCACCATCATCATCTTCATCACTTACAACTAACATCACCTTCCCTGGGAAAAAATATTGATTATCCCCGGCAGACCCCCGATCTCTATTATCCCTGAATGATCATTATACGAGGCACGCGGTTATCGAGGAAAGTCTGGGCACAGATCTGGGCAGAGATCTGGGCGACGATCTGGAAGATTTGGTGCAAGATTTGGGGAAGATTCGGAGGAAGATCTGGAGGAAGATCTGGAGGAAACTCCAGGCGAAGATCTGGTGGGAGATATCGGGAAAGCTCTTCAGGGAGATCTGGCGAGACATCTGAACAAAATCTGGAGGAAGATCTGGGAGAAGATCTGGTGGAGATCTGGTGGAAGATCTACAGGAAGATCTGGGCGACGATCTGGCGGGAGATCTAGCTGAAGATCTGGAGTAAGATCTGGCAAGATACCTGAGAAAGATCTGGGGGGAGATCTTGAGGAACACCTGGATGAAGATCCGGGGAAAATCTGGAGGAAGATCTGGGCGAATATCTGATGGGGATCTGGGCGAAGAAAAAAATGAGACCCAGCTTGGCGGGGGGGGGTGTTTCTTACTAGAGGTTAGGAGTGTATGGCGGTCCCCTCGCTAGCACGATATGGCCAAACTTATCAGTGTGTAGAGGTCCCGTCAACAGGACCCCGCCAGCATCCCGCTGGAATCCCCCCCGTGACACTGGCAGCGCCATGCGTGCCAGAAGAATACGGGCACGCCTGGAGTGAGCTCCCTGGCAAGCCTGTTGGCAACACGGCTGGCAGCGCGATGTGAACCACAAGCGAGGAGCGCGTTTCTTCATTTTCGGCGATAATGGGCATTATTGGGGGGGGAGGGGGCCCGGGATGTGGCGGTCCCCTCGCAAGCGCTGGCCTTGGCAGTGAGGAACCAAACTCTACACTCGGCGGCGAGCGAGGGGGGGAACTGAGGAAGGGCGGGCCTTCTCGGAAGCCTCGGAAGTCCCCCGGCCTTTGGACAAATCTTATCAGCCTTCCCAGGAGGCGGGGAAAAACTTCTCAGAAGGCGCGAGGGCCTCTGAGAAGCCCTGCCGCCTTCTGAGAAAGGCCTTCTCCTTCTCACTTCCCTCCCTCGCTCGCCGCCGACATACACCGACGTTTTTTTTTTCTGGCCGTGCACTGGAATGTGCACAGAAGAGCGGATCCTGGTGTGTATGGGACCCTGGTGTATACGTGTTTCGCGGCTTCCCCGGGAGAGCGGGGAAACAAGTATACACCACACCACCCCGACGTCGCCCCCGGCCATCAACAAGGCCTGGGATTGAAAAGCAGCCCGCCGCTGGTACTGTATATGCTCCAGTTTCCGAGACAGTGCAGTTTAGATGACATTGGGATTCAGCTTCGCCTCCAACATGTCGCTGAGTAGCGCCAGGGCCCGCTGCCACTGCTCGCCCTTCTCGCACGCGCTGATCCCGGCGCTGTAGCTGATGACGGTGGGCTTTAGAATTGCCACGCACATCTCGCTGAGCAGCGACAGAGCATGCTGCCACTGCTCGCCATTCTCGCACGCGCTGATGCAAGCGTTGTAGCTGAGTAGGGCAAACCCGTGGACAAAACCCGTGGAAGTGTGTAGGCGGTGGGTGCAAGGGGAAAGGAAGAGGCTGGGGGGGGCGAAAGAGGAGGCGGGCGGGGGGCAAAATCAGTCAACATCGAATCGGGAAATCGGATCCAATCGGGAGTACGTCTGCTCGGGCCGCATCGGCAGGGAGTCGAAATCGAATCGAATCGGCCGCGCCAGGATGCTTCATAACGCCATGCTAGCATCGGTCAGCATCGGAGCGATGGGAAATCGGCATCGGATCGGACCGAACTGGACGAAACCGACATCGAATTGGATCGATCGGATCGACATGGACCTTTCTCGCTCTCGCTTGGCGCGGAGCTACCATGCATATTACGATCACACTGGGCTCCAACCGCGCCTCGGACGTCTCGCCGAGCAGCGCCAGGGCGCGCTGCCACTGCCCGCCCTTCTCGCACGCGCTGATCCCAGCGTTGCAGCTGACTAGGGCGAACCCGTGGACTTCGTCCGCGTCCTCTTGGGCCAGTCTTGGCTCGAAAAGGCCGTCCTGGGCTGGTCTTCGCTCGAAGTGGCGAGAAGGTGGAAATCTTTCAGAAACCATAGAAGAACCAATGATTTCGTTTGCCGCGGCTCGTCTGGAGCGTCTTCGAGCGGTCTTGAGCCGTCTCGGAGGCCCTCTGGGACCCCGCTTCCTTCTCTTCGTCCGCCTTCCGCTCTACCTCCGCCTAGACAGCCTTCGGAGCGTCACAGACGGCTATGGTGGGTCTGCGATGTACGTCTCGCCGCTCGTCAATTTTGAAAGCACCTGGCGCCTTGAAAAAAGTCACCTGGAGGGCTCCGTGGTGACTTTTTGTCCGGCTGCCTCTTCGAAGCCTGAGGGCGGGCGCTGCTGTCTCCTTGGGAACGGTCAGTGGGCCTCTCGGGGTTTTTCTTTTCGAGCTCCTGGGGGCCTCTTGGGGCCTCGTTGGCTGCCTTGCGGCCTCCTAGGGGGGCCTCTTGGGACCCTCTATTGGGCCGTCTCGCTGCCTTCTGGGGGCCTTTTTCTCTTGAAGTTTTTGCTGGGCGCCTCTGGGGCCGTCCCCGGGCTGTCCCCCCGAGCCTCCTCCTCCTCCTCCTCCTCCTCCTCCTCCTCCTCCTCCTCCTCCTCCCTCTCCAGCTCCTCCTTCTCCTTCTATTCCTCCTCCTCCTCCTCCTCCTCCTCCTCCTCCTCCTCCTCCTCCTCCTTTTGAGGGCCGCCCGCCTCGTCGCGCCCCCGCCGCCGCCGCCCTGCGGGAAGGGGGCCCCGGAAGTCTATCGTACTTGCGTGCTGTGCGTGCGCGCTCCTGTGCGAGAGGTCGGAAGGGTGTCCCGACGTCACCGCTCGCTCTTGGGAGCTGTGCCTGGGAGAGCTCTCTGCGCCGCGTCTCGCTCTTGGGAGCCCTGGTGAGAAGAGCTCTGTACTTCACCGATCGCTCTTTTAGTGGGCGTCTCTGGGCCTGCTTGGTGGTCCTTGTGGGGGTCTTTTTCGGGCCATTCTGAGGCTTTTTTGGGCTGCACTGGGAGCATTTTGGGACGTTTGGGGGCCTTTTTGGGCCGTCACGGGGCGTCAGGGAGGCCTTGGACCGTCTTGGAGCTCTCGTGAGGCTGCCTGAGGCCGTCTTGGGAGCCTCTTGGGGCCCCCTCGGAGCTCTCTTGGGGCCGTCTTGGGGTTCTGTGAGGCCGTCTCAGGGCTCTCTGGCGTCGTCTTGGGGCTCTTGTGGGCCGTCTTGGAGCCCTCTTAGGGGCCGCTGGCGTCTTCTTGGGGCGATTTGGAAGGCCTCTTGGCGTGTCCTGGGCCGCTGAGGAGCGCACAAGGCGGACATGCTGAACATAGACGTTTTCCCATCGGAATTTGACGATGTGTGCCTCTTTGGCATGCGCTCGGGGCCCTCTTGGGGCGTCTTTGTGGCCTCTTGGATCGTCGTGGAGCCCCCCCGGAAGGCTTCGGGCCCTCGTGGGCCGTCTCGGCACCCACTGAGGCCGTCTTGGAGCGCTCTTGGACGGTCTGGGAACCCATCTGGAGCGCCTCTGGGACCGGCCTGAGCGATTCGGCTCCGTGGTGGCGCCGTAAAGGGGCGATTTTGTGCACACGAGGCCCTGAGACATTCTCGCACGCGCTTCCACTGCCACTGGCCATGTAGGAGATGCTTGGTGTGAACCCGTGGAATAAATCCACGGTGTGCTGAACCTGGACTCGCACACCGTGGGTGAACAGCTCGTCGAAGTTGAACAGCTCGGGCGTCCGTGGGGCCGTGTCGGCGGCATGTTTGGGCCTAATGCGAGCCTGTCTGGGGCATCTTGAAGGCCTCTTGCGGATTTTTGGCGGCTCTGGGGCCGTTCCAGGGCTGTCCCCCAATGCCTCTTCTGGGGGACCGCTTGGAGAACTTATAGAACGTGCATGCTAAGAGATTGCTGTCCGAAAGCTCCCGTGAGAGGACGGCGGGGGCCACCGACGGATGCTACTACAAGGGAGTGCGTTGTAGCAGCCGTTGGGGCTAGCTCAGGAAGGCCCGAAGACGGCCGAAGCCGAGGCCACAAGGGGCTCCGTGCGGCCCTCCAGCGAGCACCCGACGGATGCTACAACAGGGGGGTCCGTTGTAGCAGCCGTCGGGGGTCCTATCTGTCCTCTCACGTCTGCGGCCTCCTCGGGCCCTCTTGGGCAGCTCCCGGTGTGTCTTGGGGGGCCACCTGCAACTCCAGCAAGCCGTCGGGGGCCTGTGTTGGGCCGGCTTGGGGCCCTCTCGGGCCGACTTGGTGCGTCGGGGCCTTTGGGGCCATCGTAGGGCGATCGCGGAAACGCCGGAAGCTGCGTGGGGCCGTTCTGGGCCCGTCATAGCCAGAATGTGGGAAACTTCAGAAAGCACAGAAATTGTTGATTGGATTCTAGTCTCCTGGATCCGTCTTCGGAGTCCTCGTGGGCCCTCTTGGGCCGTGCCAGGGGCCCCTGGGGCCATCTTCGGACCATGGTGGGGGTCTGGGGCCGTCTGGGAGTCTTGTCTGGGCCCTCCCGGGCAGCTCCTGGCTGAAGCTCTGTGAGGCTCTCTCCCGGGCCTGCTCTGGGCCGTCTTGGGGCCCGCGTTGGCCGTCTTGGTGGGCTCGTGAGGGCCTCTTGGGCCATCTCGGTGCGATCGTGGAAGGCCCTGGCCTTGCGGGGCCGTTCTGGGCCCGTCATGGGGGGAACGTGGAAAACCTTGGCAATGCATGGTTTGGGCTTGTTTGCCTCGTGGGGGCGTTATCGGGGTCCTCCTGGGTCCTCTTGTGCCGTCAATGGGGCCTGTTGTGCAGCTCCTGGGGCACTATTGGGGCTATGTTGGGGGCCACCGGGAGCTTTAAGAGACTGTCTTGGGCTTCTCTTGGACCCTCTGAAGCCGTTTTGGGGCGCTTGGCGTCTTCGGGCGATCTGGGATGGCCCTGCAGCCGTCTGCGGCCGTTCGTACATAGAAAACCTTCGGAAGCCCGAATGAAATACACATCTTTCGCCTCGGGGGATGATCGTCGGGGTCTGGCTGGGCCGTCTTCGGAGGCACCTGGCCCGTCGTCAGGCCGTCCTGGGCTGTCATAGAGCTCAAGGGCAGAAGTATTGCCTAAAGTCTTTCATGCTGGCGTTGGGCCCGATCTTCACCTCTGCTCTTGCTGCCTGCAGCTGCAGGGTGCTGCTGCCTGCGGCATGTTGCTGCTGCTGGTGGTGGTGGTGGTGGTGGTGCTGCTGCTGCTGCTGCTGCTGCTGGCGCTTACTTTTGTTGTGCTGCCGTTGCCTACTGCGGACTGCTGTTGTTCGCTGTTGCTGCCTGAGGCTGCAGAGTGCTGCTTAATGGTACCCTTGCTGGATGACGCAACCTGCAGCTTGTGAGTGGAGCGAGGAGCGAGGAGCAAGCAGCGAGGAGTCAGGGCGGACGGGGAGAGGGGGGGAGCGAGGAGCGATCAGCGAGGCGCACAGAGCAAGACGGGAGGAGCGACTTCCGAGGAGAGAAAGAGAGAGAGAGAGAGAGAGAGAAAGAAGCGAGGGATGAGGGAGAGCTGAAGAGGAGTGGGCAGGCGCCAGTAGCCAGGAGAGAGGAGCGATGGAGCTGGGATGCCAGTGGCAGGAGCGAGGTGGAGAGGTAACAGGGGAGCCAGAAGCGAGGAGATGGAGGCGAGGGGGGAGGGAGAGAGCGGGGAGGAGCGATGAGCGTGGAGCCAGGTGCGAGAAAGGAGGGGCCGAGAGGAAGCCAGCACGCGCACGTCTGCATGGCTTCGGCGCACGTGCGGCCAAATGTCTTGCCTCCTTCGCTCATGGGGCTCTCTTGGGTGGTCGGCGCGATCGCAGGCTTCCTTGGGGATCTTCCCGCGGAAGCCTCCTCGAGGTGGTTCCTGGGGTGCCCTGGGGCCTCTTGCGGCGTCTCGGGGGCCCCTCGAGGCGTCTGGGGGGCTTCTTGGGGGCCTGCTGGCGGTCTCGGGGGTCATCTTGGGGCGTATGCCGCGAAGTGCAAGTGTCAGTTCGAGTTCCCCCCCTCGGGGGCCTCCTTCGGCCCTCTTGGGACGTCTTGGGCGCCCTCTTGGACCATCCTGGCGCCCTCTTGGGCCTGTTTTGGGGGCTCTGACGGGGGCCTTTGAGGCTGTCTTGGGGGAAGTCGGGGAGCGTCAAGGGCCTGCTGGAACGCTGCGAAGACAGAAATAACGGAGGCCCAACTTCACTTCTGCCACGGGCATCTGACGATCTGGGCATTTCGGGGCTGTCCTGGTGGCCCTCTGTGGACCTCTCTGGGGGCGTCTTGGGGGCCGCTTGGGCGCCTCATCGGCCGTCTTCGGGCTCCGCTGCGCCGTGTATTGGGCGTGACCGGAGGCCCGCAGGGCTGTCGCAGCTGACCCAGGGCAACTTTGCGGTCTCCTGGGGCTTCTCTAAGTGTGCAAAACCCGACTGGTGCACAGTACCTCCTCGCGCGCAGAGGCACCCGCATTGTAGCACAGACGACGTCGGGCTCCAGCACCGCCTCCCGCACGTCGCCGAGCAGCGCCAGGGCCCGCTGCCACTGCCCGCCTTTCTCGCAGGCGCTGATCCCAGCGCTGCAGCTGATGACGGTGGGCCCCAGCTTCGCATCCCACATCCTGCCGAGCAGCGCCAGGGCCCGCTGCCACTGCTCCCCCTTCTCGCACGCGCTGATCCCAGCGCTGTAGCTGACGAGTGCGGACCCGTGGACCTGGAGCCCCCGCGGGCTGAGCGGCCGAGCATACCTTACAGCACGTCCAGTGTCGGCAGGGGGCCTCGGCACCTCTGCACGGAACGCGGGGGGACTGCGAGGCAGGAGGGGCGGCGGGGGAGGAGAGAGAGCGGGAGGCATGGCGGAACGAGCGAGTCGGGGCGAGGTGGACGTAGCAGAGGCAGCTGGGCGAGGAGGGAGGAGCGAGGGGCAGGGAGCGAAGACACGGGGAGGCAGTGCCGTGTGCGAGGAGCGAGGGGCGAACAGGCAGGGCGAGAGGCGCGCGAGGAAGGAGCGGAGGGGCAGGGGCAGGGGCAGGGGTCGAGGAGCGCGTTCGGCCTGTCCTCGAGCAGGGCTGGAGCCGAACTTCGGAGCGTCGTGGAGCGCCTTGGAGTGCCAGAGGATCGAGGTATCCATCGGAGCTTCGGGAAGGCGCGACGGGGAGAAAGTATAAGGACCATGGGGACGTGTTGAGGGGGCTTGTTGGAGGCCTCTGGGGGCGTCTTGGGGGCCTGTCTCCGCGCCGTCTAGAGCCGTGGGGCCCCTTGGGGAAGCAGCTTAGAACATCCAGGGACGTGTTAGGGCTCTCTTAAGCTGTCGGAAGCCCGCAAATGCGAGAACTTGAAAATGACACAGCATCTCAAGGGAAGCACATGGTTTCTGCCTCCTTGTGGCCTCCCGGACCTATGTCGAGGCCTGTCGGGGGCGTGCTGGGGGCCTCTGGAGGCGTCTTGGGAGCCTGTTGGGCAGTCTTCATGCCGTCTTGGGGCCCTTCTGGGCTGTCTTGGAGCCATCTTGGAGCGTGTCGGTAATTAGCCATCTTAGGCCCTCTAGGGCCACCGTGGAGCTCTCTTGAGTCGTCTTGTGGGCCTTTTCGACCATGTTGAGACCTCCAAGGGCCTGTAGGGCCGCTATTTGGCGCCTCCTGGGCCGTCTTGGGACAATTCTTGGAGGCCTCGCAAGCCGCCTTGGGCTGCCGGAAGCTCGCCCAGGCGAGAACTCGGAAACCTACTAAATGTATGAGAACATAAAAAATGCAGATGCGGGATCCCGTGGGGTTCCTTTAGAAGCTTCTTGGGCTGGGGAGTCCTCGGGCCCTCTTGAAGCCGTCCTAATAAATGTTGTGTCATATTTGGCCGTGAACTCTGGACTTGCTCGGACGATTTGGCCTCCTCGGGGCAGGGGGCATTCCTCGTGTCCTTCGCAAAGGCAGCGCCCTAGTGATGACAGTCGGCTTGATTCTCGCCTCCCCGATTTCGCTGAGAAGCGCCAGAGCCCGCTGCCACTGCCCGCCTTTCTCGCAGGCGCTGATGCCGGCGTTGTAGCTGACGACGTCGGGCTCCAGTTTCGCCTGCGGCATCCTGCCGAGCAGCGCCAAAGCCCGCTGCCACTGCTCGCATTTCCCGCACGCGCTAAGTGCAGCATTGTAGCTGACCAGGATTGACTTGTGGACTTCCGTTCAGAACAGCCCGTCGACACTGCCGTTTTGTTTGCTGTCGCGTGTTGTCGCTTGCTGCCGGTTGCGGCTCCTTGATACTTGCTGCAGCTTGCTGCTGCTTGCTGAGGCTTGCCGCAGCCTGCTGCTGGTTGCTCAAGCCCGCTGCAACTTGTTGACGCTTGCTGCTTGATGTTGCCTGTTTTTTCTTGCTGATGCTGCCTGGTGCTGTAGGCTGCTGCTGGGAAACACTGGCCGCTGATGCTGACCATGGAACTTGTGGCTGCGCAACTGCCTGGTGCCGCTGGTTGTGCTGCTGCTGGCTCTGGTGTTGCTGCTGGGAGGGCATCGGGACACTCTGGGAAAAATCTGGCGGCCTCGTTGGCCGTTTTGTGGCATCCTGCGGCGCTCTTGGAGCCCTGGGGCCGTCTTTGCGTCACTCGGGGCGTTCGAGTGGGTGCTTTCTTCGGCCGTCTTGGCGCTGCCTGAGGGCCGTCTATGAGGGGCTATCATGATGCTCCATTGGTCTCACAGCTCGGCCTTCTGAAGGCGAAGCACGTTGAAGATAACAGGCCTTCTGATGTCTGTGCCTGGCCCCTCACCTTGCGATTCCTCGGGCCTCTCTTGGAGCCTCTCGTGCGCCCAGTTCCTCTTGAGTTTGGACGCCCGAAATGGGCACGGAAAGAATGGGTGCAGCGCCCAACAACAAATGTTGTCCCAAACCAACAGCGGCCGCTGTTGGGTAGGCGGCCTTCTGTCTCCAATGGACACAGGCCGCGGCGGCGTGGACAGCGAGTCCTGTGCAAAATGAACCAGATCCGCTGTTGGCCATTGTACCCATTCTTTCCGTGCCCATTTCGTTTGTGCAGATTGAGGGCGTCCGCTCTGAACGCCTGGACCGCCATCAGGGGGCTCCTAGGCCCATCTGGGGCCGGCCCGGAGCGGCCCGACCCAGCGGGCCTTGGAGCACGCGTGCCGGCGGCGCCGCCCGAAGGGAGCCGCCAGGGAGGCGCCGCAGACACCATCTCGCACGCCGGGCTCTCTCGGCAGAGTAGGCCGCGTAGGCTCACATTGGGTTCTGACTGCGCCTCCCACATCCTGCCAAGCAGCACCACCGCCTGCTGCCACTGCTCGCCTTTCTCGCACGCGCTGATCCCAGCTGTGAAGCCAATGACGTCGAGCTCCACCGTCGCCACCGACATCTCGCTGAGCAGCGCCAGAGCCTGCTGCCACTGCGAGCCCTTGCCACACGCGCCAATACCACCGCTGTAGTTGACTCGGGCTGACCCGTGGAGTACCGTCCACGAGCTGGCATGCGATGTGATGGAGGGTCTGCTGGCGAAAGTCGTTCACGATGTGAGAAGCGAGTAGCAAGTGAGCAGGGAAGGGCGAGGAGCGAGGGGAAGCGAGGAGGAGCGAGTGAGGAGGGAGGAAGGAGCTATCGCGGGGCACTGTGGGGCGCTCGTCGGGCCTTTATGGGGCCGCGTGGAGGAGGGGGGGCTTGCAGCCAGTAGAGAGGTGCGAGGGACCAGCGCAAAGTGACGAGCAGCGAAGAATGACAGATGCAAGGAACGATGAGATAAGTGGGGGGGGCGACGAGCGAAATGCTCGGAACAGCGAGGGCCAATTACTGGGCGTTCTTACATCATCTACATTATGATCGCTGTCGCCGGTACGGAGTGGTGTTGGAGGGAGGGGCCAGTAGCGAGGAGCGAGGAGCTTGAGAAGCGGCCAACACACGAATCTCCCGATGGCCTCGGCGCGCGTCTGGCCGAACACCTGGTCTCCCCCAGGGTCCGTCGCTCATGTGGCCCTCTTGGGGCCACCCTGGGGCCGTCCTGGGGTTCTCAGTGGGTCTTCTCGGGCTCCCCTTTGGCCATCCCGTGCGTCCTGGAGCTCTCTGGGCGTCCCTTGGGGCACCCGGGTGCTCTCTTGTGGGGGAGGCGAGGGGCGCGGCGCTCCGGAGGCTCCTTTTGGACCATCTCGGGGCCGTCCGGAGCCGTCTTGGAGGGGCGTCTTGTGCCATCTCGGAAGCCGGCTGGGCCCACCTAGGACTACCCTGAGGGCGTCGTTGCTCCCGTCGTGCAGGGCCATCTTCCAGTCTCCTCGGGGCACCGTCGCGCGATCCTGCGCCTTCCAAGGGAGCCTGGGCCGTCTTGGGCGCCTCGGGGCTGCAACTTCCGCTGGCCTGCAGCCCTGCAGGGACGCAGCAGGCCGCCGGCTGGGGCCGACCGACAGCTCGGGCCCCGTCGGAGCCGCAACAACCTGTGACTCGGCGGGGCTCTCGAACGCGCGGGTCACGGCAGTGTAGGACAGATGGCGTCGGGCTCCAACCTTGCATCCCGCATCGCGCTGAGCAGCGCCAGCGCACGCAGCCACTGCTCGCCCTTCTCGCACGCGCTGATCCCGGCGCTGTAGCTGACCACGACTGACACGTGGTCTACGCCCACGACATCTGCACGAGCTGGCATGTGATCGTGGACACGCTGCCGAAAAACTGATACGACAACGTGGGGCTCGGCCCTCGCCTCCCGTGCATGCTACTGCGTGCTGCGGCTTGCTGCCGCTGCTTGGGCGCCCGAGTTACCCCTGATGATTCGGGGCTCTGGACGCCCGAGTTATCCGGGGTAACTCGGGTCCGGGGTAACTCGGGCTTGGATTCCCGAAAAACGAACCCGAGTTTTCCCTGACCCGAGTTACCCCTGATGATTTGGGGCTCTGATATGTGCTGCTGCTCGAGGCTGCGGGGTGCTGCCTGCCAACGGCCCGCCCTGCCCGGCCGGTGCCGCCGTCCGCTGCCTGCTGCTGCTGCCTGCCGTCGCTCTGCCTGCGTGCTGCAAGCGGTGCTCTCGCGGCTGCCCGCCTGCTCCGTGGTGCGTGCCGCTGCCGCCCGCTGCCGCTCGCTGAGAGAGGCTCGGCTGCAGCTTGCCGGCGCCAGCTGCTGCCGAGGAGAAGGCCGAGGAGTCGGTCGACGAGGCCTGGGAGGGAGAGAACAGATGAGCGAGGAGAAGGTCGAGGAGTCGGGGTCGATGAGGTCGGGGAGGGAGAGAACAGGTGAGCGCTCCGCGAGGAGCAGGGAGCGACAGGGGAGGAGCGGCGGCCGAAGAGAGAGAGAGGGACGATGCGCGAGGACGGAGAGCCGCGGCGGGAGGAGGCGGGAGGAGGGGGGGAGGGACCTCTCGGGGTTCTCCTGCGGCCTCGTGAGGAAGGACCCTCGGACTGCCTCACGGGGGGCTGTTGTGTCCTGGAGCCTTCTTATCAGGCCTCCTTTGTGGTTCTTAGGCTCCCATGGGGCCCGCCCTTAGGGCCTTTGATTGGCGCCTGGTTGCGTCCGACATAGTAACATGTAGACTAGAGTTGGCTCAGGGCGGAGATGTTGCCAGATAGCTTTCATGATGACAGTGGACCCGAGCTTCGCCTGCGACTGCAGGGTGCTGCTGGTTGCTGCATGCTGACAGTTGATGTTGCATTGTGCTGCCGCTGGTGCAGCTTGCTGCGGACAGTGTGGTGCTGCTGCTGTTCGCCATTACTGCTTGAGGCTGCAGGCACTGGTCATGGGTAAGCCTGCCACCTGACGCAGCATGCCGATCATCAGTGCATCGAGGAGGGAGGAGCAAGGAGCGAGGAGTCAGGATAGAAGAGGGATCAGGGATAAACGACAAAAGGTCAGCAAGGAGCAAGGAGTGAGAAGAGAGGAGCAACGCCCGAGGAGAGTGGGGCAAGGAGGGATGAGGTAGGAATGAGGGGGAGGCAGGTGCCAATAGACAAGAGGGAAAAACGAAGGGCCAAGAAAGAGAAGCGAGAAGCGAGGAGTGAGAGGTGATGAGCCAGCAACGAAGTAGAGGCATAGAAAGAGAGAGAGAGAGAGAGATAGAGACGGGCAAGTAGCGAGGAGAGAGCGGCGAGGAACGAGGAGAGTGGAGCGACGAGCAAGCTGATGGAAGCGAGAAGGGAGGCTTCAGAAGCAGCCAGTACGCTCTTCTCCCGCTGGCCCTGGCGCACCTGTGGCCGATCACGTGGTGTCCCCTTGGGTCGCTCTTGGGGCCTCCTTGGTGCATTCTTTGGAACTTCTTGGGCTCCCTTGGGGCCCTCCTGGACACTTCCCATGTTCCTCCTCATCCTCCTCCTCCTCCTCCCCATGTTCCTCCTCCACCACCACCACCACCTCCTCCTCCTCCTCCTCCTCCGGCACCTCCTGGAGCCGAGCGGGCGGCCCTTGGGCCCTCCGGGGTGCCGCTGCGGGAGAGGCCCTTGGAGCCCTGGGGGCACCTTGGGGCCCTGCTGTGGCGATCTTGGGTTAGGTCGGGCGTGCCCCCCATACAGGGGAATTCTTGATCTGACGAAAAATAAAACATACTCCAGATTTCGTACTAAATGGAGGGGGGTCTCATTTCGGGGGGGGGGGTCTCTTCCAGGCTATCTTGGAGGGCCTGGGGGGGTCTGGGGACGATGTTTTGGAGGGTTCTCCCACGGGGGGGGTCTAAGACTTCTCGTCTGGGAGGGTTGAGACCCCCTCCCTTTTTTTACGAAATCTGGAGTATGCACACAATTCTCCAGAATGGTCAAAGCATGCACACAAAAAATAGCCCCCAGACTATTTGTTTACTATTCTTGAATACTCCTCCTGTAGAAGGGCGGGCCCGACTCACATTTCGGGCCCTCTTGGGGCCACCCCGGAGGCCGGCCAGCCGCATCTGGGGCCATCCTCTCGGGAGCGCCACGGGCCATCCTGCGGGCTCCTGTGGGCCTCAGGAGCCCGCCGGGCAGTGGCCCTGGACCCCCTGGGGAAGAACTCTGGAACCGACGCCTTTGGACGCCCGAAATGGGTACGGAAAGAATGGGTACAATGCCCAACAACACAAGTTCTCCCAAACCAACGGCGGCCGCTGTTGGGCAAGCGGCCTTCTGTCTCAAATGGACACAGGCAGTGGCGGCGCGGACAGCGAGTCCTGTCCAAAATGAACAGGAACGGCTGTTGGGCATCGTACCCATTCTTTCCGTACCCATTTCGGGCGTCCAGAGACGCAGGGGGTAAGCGCGAAAACACGCGAACGCCAGCCGGAAGCCCTCGGCAAAAGCGTCGCACGGCCCCCCGGGGCCGCCTCGGCGTCGTCTGGAAGCGTCCTGCGAGCCGGGGCTCGCAGGGACGGCCGGAGTCGCTTCGGGGGCGCTCCGAGGCCGTCCAGTCCCTCGGGACTGGTCGGGCACGCGTCGAAGTTGAGCGCTGCCTAACAAGAGGGCGATAAACTGTCGAGCGAAGACACGTGCCACCTTCGTACACCTTTTGAGCCTCAGGTGGCCGCGTACCCTTCTTCACCCCCCTCAGCCACCCATTGCGCAGCGCCCGACCCAAGAATGGTTCCCTGACTCCCGGAGCTTCCCGGAGGCTCAAGGGGCCCCGTCGACGCAGGGGCCCTCATCGGACGCACGCGTCGCTGAAGAGATGACGTTGGGCTCCACCGTCGCCTGCCACATCTCGCTGAGCAGTGCCAAAGCCCACCGCCACTGCTTGCCTTTACCGCATGCGCCGACGGCTGCAAGGTAGTAGCTTGGCCTGACCTCCGAACGTGCTCGGGTCGCGTCGCGAAAGAACTGCAGCGCCGCGCCCCAGGCCGCAGTCCTCCCGCAATCCCTTATGACCGCCAGGAGGGAGAAGGCGCCTTGCTTTGATCCTTGCTGGATATCTAGCATCCGTGTAATCTAATGCAGAATCGAGCCACAATGGCTTGATCTCAAATTGCGTGCTGTATGTGCGTTCACATACACACACACCATTTCCTCACCTCTCACCTCTCTCAGTGGCTAGGACTGGCAAGTCCTCCACCCGCGGGTAAAATCACCGGGTTGCTGACGTTGCAACTGCTGGCCAATTACCTTAACCCCGCGACTACACCTTGCTTGCCAAAATGGCAGACCCCCTACCCACGGATGAAACTGCCATGGGAACTTTCCCACCATCGGCTACAATTGCGCACACAAAACATCCGACCGACCCCCCCCCCCCGCCCCCCCCCCCGCGGACAGAACGGTCGCACGAACAAACATGAAGCTGCCACCAACATGTCCACCTCCTCCTGGATAAAACTGCAAGCTAGGTATCCGGATATCTCTCCACCCACTGATAAAACAACTGCTGTCTGGCAGACCAGGCGAGTCCGTAAGGAAGGTCAGTCAGACGGTCGACTTCGAGGATAATGCAACACAGGCTGTGCTCGTAAAGGATCCAATGCGAAGCCACAAACAACGCAATGGAAAGTCAAACCATGCAATGCAATGCAAAACAAAGCCGTGCAATACAGATCATCAGCATTTCTTGTTCCGGTCAACCCAGCCAGACGCTGCCCGTACGTGGTCAGGTTTTCGAAGCATGCCTCATGTGCCTCCACCAGGATAGGGGTTGTATTATTGATACATTCGGTATTCATGAGCCTTCCGTACGCGTATTTCTCATGCATGTGCTTCAAGTATGCTAGGCATGCATGCTCTTCTTGGCCGCTATATGTAAATATGATTATGGTAGCTTTGTGCTCTGTGCACTCATGCGCTGGGTGACTGACTACTCGAATATGTATCAGTGTGTGGTAGCGGTGTGCATGTGTGGTCACTAAGATGTTCATTTTATTTGCCAAGTGCATGTGCTCTTTCGCGTCTGGTGCGCATGATCCCCAGAGCCAGGAAGACTTAAACAACCAAGGGCTGAAGAAACCGAAGACTGAAAAAACCGAAGGCTGAAAAACCAGTCAGACCCCGAGGCGCAGGCGTTTTGTCCTGGCGGCGCGCACACGGGGGTCGGAGGGAGGGGGGGAGGGCTTCTCAGAAGGGGGCTGCTTATTGGAAGGCGGCGGCCTTACGTCTATAGACAAGACCCGCGCTTCCTGAGGAGCAGGGGTGCTTCTGAGAGGCCCTCCCCCCTCCCCCCACCCACCTCTGCGCGTGGCCGATTGTCATCACACCCCCGCCGCGAACCTTCGCACGAAGGATTGCAAAAAACCAAGGATTGCAAAAAGGATTGCAAAAAAAACCTGGATTGCAAAAAAAAACCCTGGTTTTGTTTTGCAATCCTTCGGTTTTTTCTGTTTGCAATCCTGGGTTTTTTTGCAATCCACCCTCTGCGCGTGGCCGATTGTCATCGCGCCCCCGCCGCGAACCTCCGCCCCCTGCCCTCGCGGCGTGGGGCGGCCCCCCGCGGGCCCCAAATGATGGGCCCGGCGCGCCGGCCTCTCCCGGAGAGTGCGAGGAAGGGGGCCCTGCGCCGAGGCACCCTCCGCCCGCAGACGCCGAGCCGTGGGTCGGGCACGTCCCCTACTCCAGATTTCGTAATAAAAGGGAGGGGGTCTGGACCCTCCAAGACGAGCCATTTCAGACCTCCCCCGTGGGAGAACCCTCCAAAACATCGTCCCCAGACCCCCCCAGGCCCTCCAAGATAGCCTGGAGGAGACCCCCCCCCCCGAAATGAGACCCCCTCCCTTTCTTACGAAATCTGGAGTACAGTTGAGCAGGGACCGACCGTCCCAGCATTCCTAGAGGCCCACCACGAAAGTGTCTTAGAACCAAAGCATGTTCTGGGAGCCAAAACAGTGTTCTTAGACGGCACGCCCGGTG